TTCTGTTTGTAGAGATCCAGATCTTCTTACATCTCAGGCTGGTTTCGTGGGTGCTCAGAGTGGTCTGGTAGATATCCAGCTCAATTCCGGGGACCAGCTGAAATAGGGTCCCCTACTCCTCCGCCATCTTTCCCCCCTCCCCTGCTTATACTTTAATTAAGCTGTTTTTTTAAAGTTTTATTAGTTAAGTAATCTCTACACCCAATATGGGGCTTGAACTCAGGACCCCGAGATTAGTAGTCCCACATTTCTCTGACTAAGCCAGCCAGGCACTCCTAATTAAGCAATTTTGATCAGTAAACATTTTTCAGATTTTTGCCATTATAAATAATATTGTGATAAAAATCCTTAAATATAAATGTGTCTCCATTTCTGATTCTTTCCTTATGAAAAAGTCTTAGGCCTAGAATAAAAGATATAAACTTTTTTTTTTAAGATTTATTTATTTATTTGCGAGAGTGAGAGAGAGCATGCACACCACGTGTGCGTGTGTTGGGGGGGAAGGGAGGGGCAGAGGGAGAGAAAAAGTCTTAAGCAGGCTGCACAGTGAGCAAGGAATGAGGAGCCAGATGCAGGGCTCAATCCCATTACCCTGAGATCATGACTTGAGTCGAAATCAACAGTCAGTGCTTAACTGACTGAGCCACCCAGGCACCCCTAAACTTTTTTTTTAAGTAAGCTCTGTGCCCAGTGGGGGCTTGAACTCACAACCCTGAGATCAAGAGTTGCATGCTTATTGACTAAGCCAGCCAGGCACACCAAGATATAAATATTTTTTAAGTCCTTATTAGGACTTAAATATCTAAAACAGAGACTGAATATATTTTTTGATTTAAGACAATGAGGAGTTACTTGGGGGCTAAACAGGAAAAGGTTTAGATTGCTCAGCTTGAGATGAAAATTTTAACTGTAGGCTGTTAGAAAAGTTAGAAAAATCACAAAAGTAGAATGAAGAAGGAAGGTAAGTACTGAATACTAAAACATTTAGGAGAAATTCTTCAATGTTTAAGCCTCTGATAAGGACCTGAGAAGTATGGATCTATAATTAGGATATACACCTCAACTTCATATAGGCTAGACTCACACACTTCTTCACATTAAAATAACATTTAGCAGTGCCTTTCGACAATGTGCTCTGACTGTAATGGACAGGATGGGACAAAGAGTTTCTTGAGAAGAAATGAAATGTACTTTTTTTTTTTTTAAAGATTTTATTTATTTTAGAAAGAGAGCACTCGAGGCATGGGGAGGAGCAGAGGGAGAGGGACAAGCAGACTTCACACTAAGTGTGAAGCCTGCGGTGGGGCTCATCTCATGACCTTGAGATCATGACCTAAGCCCAAAGCAAGAGGATGCTTAACTGACTGAGCCACCCAGGTGCCCCAAAACATACTTTTTACCCTATTTTAGTGGTATGATGAGGATACTGCACCCTCTATTATAAAAAAATTAACATAAAATTGCATTGAAAACATGTAATCTGTGTTTTGAGACTGAAAAGTAGCTGACTGTCTCCAAGATGAGGACTATGAAATACGCAGAAGTTGAAATCTATCCATGCATTGACATTAAACAAACTGCTTCAAAATTATTTAGGAAGACTATGTGTGGAAAGCTATAGTTTATTTAGTGTTGTAACTCTTTAAATTCCCATTTGAGGTGACAGATGTTGTAGAGGACTGGATATTCATTGAGCTCTCTACTCTGTTTCTAGCCTAGAACCAGAGCTGTAAGATACATGAGAGGGAAAGGTAGATGAGAGTTGCTTATTCACAAAGCCCTAATTGGGGTTGATATATGTAGAAGAATGATCATAGCCTTTGAAGGTAGACAGACTTGCTTCGGTTGAATCATGGCTGACTCTACTTATTAGCTCTGTGGCCTCAGCAAAATTCCTCACTTTTGGAGTCCTCATCTCTAAGATTAGATACTACCCTGCAGAGCTGAAATGAGTATTAAGTGAGATAGTGTATGTAAAAATAAGGTATGCATTCCTAATAAATCCTGATGCTACGTATATGGTAGCTATTGTTTTCCATATTATTATGTCATTAGAGACAGTTTTATTTGTGATAAATACTGACATCACTATTTTATAAACATTTAATGAACCTTCAATATAATTTTAAAATTCTCTATAAAATGCATTATATAAAAAAGTCTTAGCTACATTGCATTTACTGAGTTTAGGCATATCAGATTGAATAAAATAAAATACACTGTTACATAAAATTAATTTTAATAACATAAATATTAGGTAAACTTTGCTTTATAAATTCTTCTAAATAGTCAGAATCTATTTTACCTTGTTTTCTTTAAAGGCTTCTCAGTCTTGGATTTGAAAAGTTCGTCAGAGTTGGGAGTGTCAGGAAGATTGCCAAGCCAATTTTACCTTATAGGTAAGAACACTGAATTCCAAAAGTCAGAGTGCTCAAAGAAGTATAATAATTTTGGGACGCCTGGGTGGCTCAGTCGTTAAGTGTCTGCCTTCTGCTCAGGTCATGATCCCAGGGTCCTGGGATCGAGCCCCGTGTTGGGCTCCCTGCTCAGCAGGAGGCCTGCTTCTCCCTCTCCCCCTCCCACTGCTTTTGTTCCTTCTCTC